TCTAGTGTCAAACTCTGCTCATACATCATTCTGCACAGTGAAGATCAAACATCCAACTGGAACCAGAAGAAAAACAGATTTTTGAATGAAGGGGGACTTTAATAAATTAGTTTTAAAAAATGCCAGAATACATTAGCTGTAATAACGTGTATATTGTTCCCTGACTAATAAATCACTCTTACATTTAAAATGAAAACTACAACAAAGGTCAGTCACTGTCAAGACACTATATAATGACAAACAACTCTAATATAGTCTAATATACTGTATATTATACTGTATATATATATATATATATATCTATACTACAGGTACAGTAAATTAGATTTCTGTGAATTAATCTGTTTCCTGAGAAAAGGTTGACTCATTCATCAACAAGCAGCTCAGAAATGCAAAAGATCAATACATGTATAAGCTCAAAGATCATTTCTGACCTTTTACTTAGAAAAGCCTGTATTGAATGGGCCAAGATTAAAACCACATTAAACAAGATGAGATAAGATCTGTGCCGGTGTGTGTGTGGGGGGGGATCTCTGATGTTTGACTTCATCTGTCAGGCCTCTCGGTGACTTTGAGGCCCCGGAGCAGTGTTAACCTTGCAGGGGTCTGGCAGGGCGAGCTGCACTGCGGTATACAGCTGAAGGGGGGGAGGAGTCGGGAGGCTGGGTGATCAGCATCACCCCTCCTGGAGTAGGCTTTTTAATGCCAGGGCAAAAGGGGCAGAATGGGGTTTAGAACAGTTTCTTTATTAAAGAAATTGAGTTTAGAAACAATGACTATGACATGAATCAGCAGGTGTATAAGTCACAGCTCAAAGGAACTCATATGAATCTAATCTTCAGAGGTGGTCTTGCTCATACACTTTTTATTTAAAAAGGCAAATTACCCCAGAGATCCACTTTGTCTAATGAAGCTGATCCCAACTGGGAAATCTACAAGGGCCTCACTTGATTTCAGGCGGTGGTTGAATTTTCTAAATCAAATTAACAGTACCCCACAAAGCAATTACAGCTTTGAATCAGTGCTTCTCCTTGTATCTCCCTGTATTCCAGCCGGCACAGAGCGAGGACATGAAAGCACTGAGCCTCCATCTGCAAGTACACAGGATGTAATGTAGCATGACATGACAGAAAATTGCTTTTGAGCGCTGATATGATTTCCCCTTCTCCTGTTTTCTGGCCTTGTGTTGAGCTTTTATGTATCTAAAAGCAGAGAAGATGAGATTTAGTGTGCATTTGATATGATCCAAAACAGAAAATGAAAAGTAATTCACAGAGGACATGGAATAATTACATTTTCAGATGTAATTATGTTTCCTTGAAAGATGTAGAATCCTTTTTTTTTTCAGGTGAATAAAAAAATAAAAATGCAGGTTTGTTGTTAATATATCCTGCAGAGGGCAGTGGTGTAACATTAACATAACTGCTCATCAGTCACTTCAATGAAGAGCCCAGAAAAGATTCAGTTTTGATCTTTCAAACATTGTCCCCAAATAACATTTATTTTTCATATTCATAAACTCTCTCTCCACATGTTTTAAATTGGTTTAGCCCTCAGATTAAACCCTAAGCCTTTCTATTTGAGGAACTAAACTGTGCACTTTCCTCCTTTTCGCAACTAATCTCTAATTCACCCACTTTGTGAACTATTTTGGTGACAAAGTCCATGATTTTCAAGCCTTGGTTTTTGGCACAAGGGGAGGAAAAAAACCTCAGAAGAAGCTAAATCCTTTTAACAAAAGCTTACTTGTCTCTCCACAGCTTATGTTGCTCGGAGAAATGGTCAGATTTCTTATTTCACAATAAGAACCTCATTCTCTTGTAATGAAATTAATTAGATGACCAGACTGAAAGACAAAGCATCATGGGATTCACCGAAAATAAGTCAACACATATATGATCATTTTCCTTCAGTATCACTGAGTGTGTGAGAGATTAACTACTCTGAAGCCTGAAGAATGATATTTATAGACCAACATAGAAATAATATATGTCAAAAATACCAAAATAGCCAATGGGAACAGGTGTTAAGACACATGAGAATGGGTTTGTTTGCTACTGGAGTAGGGTGGAGTGAAGTGAGACCATACTGGGGTTGTGACATAACGACTGAACATGTTTAGTACACAGAGTTAACAGAGAGAAAGAAAGGGTTCTTTCAATGGACCAGCAGCAGTGGAAAACAGGCTAAAGAGGAGCCCGTTTAACTTTTTTTTCCCTTTACACTGACGCCATTGTCAGGGGTGTCAGCACTCAAGGGCAAATTGCTTTCCACTGACATAATCACTCGAGAACATTTGGGATCTGAAATGAAGTTTGCAGAACTCAGCGCGGCATTTCCACGGTTTCCTCGTACGACATGTCTCTTTTACCTCTCTGATCTCTTGAGAATGTCTGGAATGAAGTACCACCCTGTTAATGTCACAGACACAGTGTGCTTGGTGTTTTAAGTCAGGACCAGACGGTTATAAGTGCAGAGCTCAGTGCACTTCACAAGCACCCGGCGATGCAACCCAAAGACACAGCTGTGTAATGAACTGTGAGAAAATGAGCAAGAAATTGCAGCTAATTGTTAAAGATACTAAAATTTAAATGTTATTTGGTTTGTCAATAATCATAAATCATACAATACAATCAAAATGACAAAGCATCTCATAATAGCATCCTACGGGTTTAAAAAACAGACTTTAAGGGGATTAAAAACGATCTGTTTCAGTTTTCAGAGCTAGCCGTTGTTTACGAGTCCAGTTGTTGTTTTTGCCTGCTCGTCAGAAGGCATTTGCTTCAGCTGAGTTTAGCTTTTAAAGAGCCTTCAGTCTGCCCAATCACATGGTACTGTGGCTGAGTTGTGTGGCCATCTCCTTTTGTTTGATTTCTGGCTTTAAAATTTGTTTTGCATGTGTTTTTGGCAGTGCTTAAGTCAACCCAAAGCAAAGTGCCTCTTTCCTTTTTGGAACAACACCTTGGCTTTCTTTATAGAGAACCCATGTCTCCCCTAAGCCCAGTTATTTTCTTTCCTTTGTTTGGGTTTTTTTTGTTTGTCAGTGTTTTAGTTAATCCTTTTTGTTAGGGAGCAGTAGAGGATTTGGCCAAAGCACAGCTAATTACAAACACCTACGTTTGCCAGATAAAAGGCATTCTGATATTCAGTCATCAACTGCTGGAAACACTGAGTTCAAGGAGCCAGTATCAGTAGAAAAGGTTTCTCCTTGAGAGAGGAGGCAGCGTAGCCAGTGATCTTATGAATGTAGGGTTTATCAGTTCAACAGACCAGACAAAGCTGAATTTCTCAAGGCTGTGCAGTCACAAGCTCGCAAATACAGCCACCTAATCAGAAGCTAAGACGTGGCCCAATTTCAGCACAAAAGTTTAACAAGCTAAATGAAAGAACTGTAAAATCTCAGCTTAGTTTGATTTTGGTTGTGACAAATGTGGTACCCTTTGAAATGTTAATCCAGAAATACATGATATATTAGTTGATTTTATTATGGTAATATAGTGGACATGATGCATTTCAGCTTCAGTTTAGAACCGTGATTTCCCTTACAGCAAGGAAATAATTTTTGTTGACCTTGTCACAGCCAGTAGACGTATGCAACCAGTAATGAGGAATTGCTTCATTTAAAGGGGTCATTAACCCAAAATGGGAACGTGTACATAAGTGATCGGAGCTTCTCCACAAAGCTCTGAAGGAAGAGACCTAGAAAATACTAATGTTGTCCCTTGAATATTGGTCTAATTTTCACTAGGAGAATTAATCCACAAAAACCCGGTACTTATTTAACCAGCTTTGGTCCCATTATGTACAAAAACAAAATGACCAAATAGTGGCATTACTGGTGTTAAATGAGACATTAGAGTTTACCCTAAGTCTTTTCATTTTATGTTCCAGGTTACTTTCCCTCACACATTTGACAGTTTCAGCTGTCAAATGTGTGAGTTTTTTTACCTGAGGAGAGATGAATTCACTGCTTGAAAAGCAATGATATGAGGGAGCCAGTGGCTAAAGCCATTTGAGGGATTCCAGCAATGAACTCTTATAGATGCAGTCAGCCAGGTAGAAAGACACCATACAGTTACATTTTCATATCTCATGGTCTGCACTCGTTCCAAGGATAACTGGTGGCTGACTGTGCCAAACACTGCAGACAGGTCAAGAAGGATGAGGACTGTGAAAAGGGAAGCAGCATGAGGAGTGTGAAGTCCTTTTTAAAAATGGAGAGAGAAAGAGTGTTTGCCTGACTCGTGACTGATTGGGGTCAAGGAGGTTGTGTTGTGACGGGTGCAGAGAAAGCTGGTTAGAGAAGGCATGTTGAGAAAAGGATTAAAAGGAGTGATTTTTAGTCTGTGGGTCACGATAACAGACGGGTCAAGAGTTTGCGTCTTGACCTGATGGCAAGCAGCCACATGGAAGAAAAGGCAGAAGGTCAATGCAGTGGTCTAAAAGAGGGAAAGCAGACCTTGTTCACAGCAGCCACTTTTCACATAAAATAGGGTAAACACAGGTGTTACCAATGATACTAATTAAGGTTCTGTTCCATTTAGGTAAAGGTCAGGTCACCATTAAAACAAACATAAAAAATAAGACATTTCTAATCTATCAAAGACTAATGATGTGTGAATTGAACGCTAGCAAACATCTCTTGCAAGCGATCCACTGTGGAAACAGGAAGTGACTGTAGCATCATGAGCTGTAGCATAACTTCCAAAAATTACAGTTCCAGAGAGGAAAAGAATATATTAAACTAACTACTGGGACTTTTGTTTTATTTATTTGTAGAGAAATGCTTAGTAACATTCAAGTTTAGCCGTGAGAAACCTTTAATTATGCTAACCTAACCTACCTAAGCTACCGTTTTTCGGTCATTAAGCAGTGTTTGTTTTTACCATTTCTTTGTTATTTGAGGTATGTGGATTTTTTTTAATGTAATCAGTTGGATCAGTAAAATGTGTCTGGTCATTGTCAGGCCTATATGTGTCTTAATCTTCATTCTACATAGGTCAGATATTAGCAAACTAACATTAACTTTGTCTGTTAAGTTAGCTACGTAACAGTTAAACCTGCCTCTTTCAGGGTGTAATAAAGCTAATCTTTACATAAAAAATAGCTTGTGTGGAACCTGTTTTAATTAAATAATGCACCAATCTCCATTAATGTTCTTCTGTTAAGTTTGAACTCAGGAGGAGCTGGTGCAACCTGCAGACAGGTGTTTTCACTTGTTCTGGCTGATTAGACCTCTGCTCACGTTGATGCTTTAGAGTGGTGCAAGGACAGTCCTAAGAAAAGGTCTAATGAGGCAAAGTGAAAACACCTTTCAATTGGGACCTTAATGATTTGACTTTAACCCTGAAATTATGTTTTTGACTTGAACCTTTCAACCCAAATTTTCTTAAATGCTGTATTTACATAATAAAAGTGCACATCCCCATGCTTTTACTTTCTGTGATAAATAGCACACATTTTTGGTTTGCTTTTAAATCAAGACCTTCCCACCAGCCTAGGGTGTTTGAAGATTGGCTTTAAATCCTGAAAGAGGCTGCTGACTGAACACATCAATCACACAAGGCTTGATTGTCACAACAGCTGAACCATATGTTGAGGATTAATTGCAGTTTTGTTGAAATGATACACGGACCGACAACACTAGAGTGAAAGAGTGTGATTAAAATTAAAGCTTGCTAGAAGGAGAACCGTATCGTGGGTTTTATCAAATTTATGACTCATGTAAAGACATTTGTGTATGCATGAATATGCAAATTCTGTCAAAGATGAAACACAACAAAAATTCTACTTTTTCAATTTGAACCGTTTTGCATCGTATCAGCGCTGAAATTACTGTATATTGAAAAGCTGAAGGTCATCTGCAATTCTGCCTGATCAGCACAACGGGAAGCTGTCATGATTAATGCTGTGAGACATGAAGACATAAGTGTCGACTGGAATTCTGATAAGGACAAACACACATACTCGCACACCCTGTTTTTCTGCTTTTTACTTGAATTACACATTTCTCTGAGAAGAAAATAATTTCCAGCTGCTTAAACTCCGTCTAACTTGTGCAGCATTGCTCAAAACCACAGAAGTGTCCTTAAATTCTAGTGGAGATCCCAAAGTTCCCAAAGATACCAATTATGTCAGGCTGTATTTAGAGGACATGTGTGTGTGAAATAATACACAGGACATCCAGAACATTTCCCCTGGCGCAGCCATAAAAACATGTAGTCTTGGGTCAGTTTAAGTGTCACTCAGCTGCACTTAAATGTTCAAACATGCAGGATATGTAATATTTCACATTATGTCATATGATTTTATGCTTTTTTCTTAAACTTGAGGAGATAATCAAGATTAAAGAGGTTAAATCATTGCAGATCCTGCAGAGTCGACAATCTGTGGGTATACTTAATGTGTTATTTGAGTAGATGGTACAGATGTTCTATCTCATAGTCAAATTATAGTTATGTTTATTATTGGTTTATACATCTTTTCACATTTTATCATCTTATTACTTCTGCATTAATGTATCCATCACTTTAATGCTGCAGCTGGTAAACGTGGAGCTCATTTTAAATCACTTTGTAGCTCATGCATTTACCTCTGGGGATCAATATATAAAAGTAGTCTTATCCTAACCTAAAATAATACATCATCATTTATTTGATTATATTTTGTGGTAATAATATAAAATCTCCAAAGCAGCTAAAGTCTTCAACTAGTGGAGTAGAAGTGTAAAGTATGAAATGGAAATACTCAGATAATGACTTGAGTAAATATACTTTCCACCACACACACAATCATATTAGATGGCGCCAACAATACTACAGATGTGTGAACCCCTTCACTGACACACTTGTAGGAATATGAGAGATCTTTCTGGACACATGTGACCATCAAAACACTGTTGTTGTTGTTGTTGTTGTTGTTTTGGTATCTGAACACACGTTTAACAGTCAGATACATCGATGCGTTTCACCTCCTCAGATTAAAAACCCCTACATCGTGACTGCGAACTGCACCAGAGCTGAGTGGATCATTCTCGGGGTCCATTTGCGTCGCCAGTGCAATCGCTGCAGCTTTAACCGGTCCATCATGCCTTGCGGTGTCCCAGTTCAGTTCCGATGTAATGTACAACAAGCTCTGTGGTCTCCCTCAGTGACGGCCAGAGCAGCAGGCTGACAGACAGAGCGGCAGATGTTGAAAAAAAGCCCCACGTTTTGTCGGATGTCCAGCAGCCGGACGGACGCGTGTTTACATCCACTCGGATAGAGGCGGGGATGTGCGCACACCGTTAACTCTGCTGCAGGCGCGGAATAAACAGGATCTCCCCGCAAGTGGCCCGCATCACATGCAGCGGAAAGTACCGGATTTTATTCCAAAGAGAAATACTGAGGCAACAGCACAACGGGAGAGTGTTTTTTTGTTTTGTTTTAAATGCTCTGACACACTGTGATCTACTGCTAAAAAGAGGTATGTTGTTGGGTTTTATACACAGGGCTGAATGCAGTCAGTGTCTCCATTGGGAGACTGAATGCGCCAGTTTAAAAAGCTGCTGCCATTTAAAAAAAACAACAACAAGATTGTAGGCTGTTAAAATTATCAGATATATCAATTCATAGTTAATTCCCTTTTGTTGTATTTGTGGAAGGCATGAAAACACACAGGAGAGCTAATACATGGCTGGTCAGCTGTAGTGGCATAACTTTATTTTGCAGATGTATTCAGGGTTTTTCCTCCTTATCCTACAATTTAAACACTCATTTGTGGCTCACAATCTTAATCTACTTTCAGTTTATAATCCACACAAGAATACATCCTTAAATGGAGTGATACTGGTGTTCATGACAGATTTCCCACATGGCAACATACCTGATCCATGAGCCAGCAGGAAGTGAGTGAGTGTGTGAGTGAGTGAGTGGTCAGTGTGAGTGAGTGGATTTGCTGAGCCCTGCAATGATGAATCTCTTAATAGAGTTTGGCTATAAACGCTCAGTCAGCAGTGGTTTTAATCAGTTCCTTTAACTGAGTCACACAGTTACAGGAGAGAGTGGGAAAGTCCTTGAAGCACACGTGTGATGGAAGCAAGGGCAAAAGTCATTCACAGGCAGGAATTCACAAAAACAATGCAAAAGGTATTTTATTGTAGTTGGTTTTTAAATCATACAGACATGTTACCGTCCCCTTCATCTACGTCTAACTGATGTTACCTGACCTACATTTGGACAACGTTATTTGGCTTCTGTATCTGAGGTCTGACATTCTCTCCTTTGTAAAAAAACAAACATTAGTTTTCTTTTTAAGAATAGGTTAACGTGTCATCCTTACTAGATGAGGAATCTTAAATCTTAATCTGTTTGGTTTGTCTCTAGTAGATTAGAGCCGCACGATATGGTAACAAAATATTACGATTACTTTGACATACATTATATTGCAAATGCATTATGATTCACGATTAAAGGGAATGATTATTTTTGCATCAGTGTTTATTCTCACTGATAAAATTAAAAAATGTAAATCTTCATGATATGATTTGTTGAGTCTGTACCAAACAAACATGTTTTCATATATCTGGAGAACAAGAGTTGTTGGCCAGCATCTCTACAGCACTACAGTACTTCATCATAATGCTATTTTGTGACACAAAAAAAAAGGAACTAAATTGGATATTGCACATATTTTATATATCCTGTCTACCAGATTAGGGCTGCTAACCAACAGTAACCATTATTTTCATTATCGCTAGTTATAGTGAGGTTTTTTGCCTCGATTAATTGGTTCATCTTTTGGAGTATTAAATGTTACAGAATACAGAAAAGTACCTGTCACAGAAGCTTGTTTTGTCTTACTAACAAGCTGGAAGCTGGAACTTTTCTAAACATCCTGTTTGGGTCCTGAAGCCAAAAGCTGAACACCCAAGCTCCATTTACAAATCCCTCACTGGTGCCTCTTTTTTTTTTCAAACCAGTAAACAGTAGTCAGTATTTACCTTATCATCTGCACCTAAAGCGGAAAACTTTAATTTACCAGACTTTTCCGTGTAAATCCAGTCCAGTTTATCTTTCAGCAGACCCCCACCTCCTCCCTCCCACCACCTCGTGGTCTGCTAAGCTCCAAGTCTTACAGGGTTAAAGGCTTATTGTCTCCACCAAGCTGATTAGTTAACTTTTGAGACTGCAAGAGCGGCAGTTTGGTCACCCAACTACAATATGGTGAGAACTATAATAAATATAGTGGTTCAGGGAAATTGTGAAGTCCACAGCCATTCAAGTTTTTTTTAGTAATGTGGATTAAAATGCCCGCCAAATGGTACATCCATGGAAAACGCCACTGCCTGTTTATTCAGGAAGTCTTACATGGGTTCTTACAGAATAGATGGTTGACAGTACCTGAATGGAAAGCTGCTCTGTCTGATTACTCCCTGAAGCTTTTTTTTCACTCAGCTTATTCCAGCTTTTGTTAAACCTGCAGCCACCTCACTCCTCAGCTGACAAAGTTGATGTGGAAGTAATCTCTAAAAGGCTTCTCCACTGAGCAGCACACAACTGCATCCAGCAGAGCACTCGGGTTTAATGTGAAGAGATTGAAGCAAAGGGGAGGTTGGGAGGGTTTGATCCAATTTCACATCTGAATCATTTTTATATCTTTTTTTTATTAGATTTCAGGGTGGGCTAACAATAGTATAGCATTTTCTTATGTAGTCTTGTATTAGTGTACAGTATTAATAGCAGTGAATAGAAAAAAATGAGAGATGTGTAATATGGGGCTGTGTGCGAAGACCACTGAGCTCTCAAGAGACTCCAAGAAAAGTGACGAGAAGGACAACAAAGGGTCAGCTTCTAACTTAATTTGTGTTTTTATATTTGAAATACCTGCTGACGTTAGCACTTCTTGTGGATGGATTGCCTTGACTTTTTGTACAGACATCCCTGTTCCCCTCAGGATGAATTTCAGGATGAAACATTTCATCTTACACCATCATTAGGTGGTAACTCCAATACTGTGTCCAAAAAACAGCTAAATTAATGACATTTCTATCGGCCTCAGCTGTAATTTGTGTTAAGTGTTAATTAGGGAATGTTGGCATGCTAAACTAAGATGGCGGAAAACATCAAATATCAGCGTGCCTGCATTGACATTGTGAGCATGTTAGCGCTGGGCCTGTAAGTACAGCCTCAGAGCTCTTAGCGTGGCTGTTTATGCACTTGTGCAGCCTCTATCATTTGCTAAACAGTAAATGTTTGTCCTTGTGTTTGACTAGCAGTAATGACTATAGTATGTTTTTTTTTATATGAGCTGTAGTTAGTCTGAGTCAGAGATGAGTTTTCCCTTTGGGAGGCTGACCAAACCGTATAATGACTCCAGTTGAAACTGTGTGGTTAATCTCCACCAGCAGACCAACTCTGAGACGTTCCAACAACACCCCACTTGATCCTGAGTTTCAGAAACCCTGCTGCACTACGCACCTCCATGTTTTCTCGCAAACCCACATTGGGAGAAAACAAAGAGGAAGTGACAGGAAAGCACGGGTTGCTTCTTAATTGTCAGTGATTGTTTGGTCTACTTTCCCAGACCATACCCTCCAATCAATCCATTCATCTGTGTAAGGTTTGGACAAAGCCAGAGCTGTGTTGCCATGGTGAGGGATTGTTTGCATCCAGTCATGCCACTAGCCATGTGTGCTCACACACACACACGCACACACTCTGCAGCATGCTCTTTTGTCTGTGCACCACTTGTTTCAGTGGACCCCCCTCCTGCCGCCTCAACCTCCTTAGTGCTTTAAAAATTGGCCCCCGTTTGCATCATCATGTGTTGTTGAACCGCTGAACTGCTTGCTACTGCTTTCAAACATCACGTTGTCTTGATGCCAAGTTACTCTAATCACATTTTCCACTGCTATTTTTGACATAAAAACAATGTACTTAAATTAATTAGTGCAGTTTAAATGCACATAAATATGCTATTTTGAGACATTGTTATGTTGTAATTAAAGGGTGTAGGATTTTGTGGCATCTAGTGGTGAGATTGCAAATTGCAAGCAACTGAAACTCCTTTACTCAAACAAGCACAAAGTAGAAACTACAGTTTTCTTTCTTTTTTACATAATGTAATATTATAATATATATTACACATATGTCTTTGTATTAAATGTGTATTAGTGGTTATCCTAAAAATGGATTTACAAAAGTACAGAATCAGTGCAAAAACATGAACACACAATTATGAGATACAGTAAAAGTGTCTTAAATTAGCAGAAACAAGTGGATTGACTATATTTACAAATTCAATAATTATGTTAATAATACATTAAGTACATTGTTCATACAAGAATTCACATGGGAGTGTATTATTAGTATTTTTATTTTTTTTATATATTCTTACAATGACTGCAATTTTGATAATACACAATAATGTTTTGCATTAGGTTTATGCTGTTTGACCGTACATGTGCAGGTTTAAATGGATTTCTTTTTGTCGGAAGTCATAATTGTATGGCATTTAAACACTAAATTATTCAGCTGGTTGTTGTTGGCAGGCTGCTGGAGGAAAGAAAACAGGGTCAGGGGTTCAAACCTAATCAATGAGTTTGTTAAAGTTTAATTACTTGATGGACTGAGAGAGCACTGAGCTTTAGCAAGGCAGGAAATGAACTCTTTGGTGGGTATATTGCATTTAAACCCGTACTTGTAGTTGTTGTGATATTAAATAACATCTGTGTAACTTTTAATGCTCAGCTGAGGAATATTAAAGGAGCTTTCAGTGGTATTTCTGTGCAGATTCGTCTTATTTATCATCCATGTTGGAGGAAATGCATCTAAGAAACACTAACTTGCCACATTGTGACCCCTCCCTAACTCTGCCTTCTTGTGGAATCCTGAGAATGAAACTTCAGGGGAGGCAGACTGAAGTCACAACTAAGTTTAGCTCAATGGTTCAAAGCCCAGACGACACAGTATTCCTCATGTCTGAAACCAAATGGCTGCAGCAAAAGTTGTCTGACAGCAAGGATTTGTACTGATAGCAGCAACCTTTCCTCTCCACAGCAGAGTCACACTCATCAACTATTTCCTCATATTGCCACAACCCAACTGAATACTAATCTGTCTCATCCACCGACCCTTATAGCCTTCAAAAAATCCATTCTGTGTCTCTGTAGCTTTCTTTTTCTCACAGTTGGTTGCCCTATTTTATTATTGAGCCATTTGAGCGTATTCTACTTCAATCCTTGCAGGCACACTGCATGAAACTGTAAGTAAATGCAAATCCTGGAAGCTCCAGTTAACTTTGCTACTGTAAATGTGACAGCATTTTAATTTGGACAATTTCCATGGGGTTATAAACAATGGAAAACATTAAATAATGTAGTTGGCATACTATACATAACACAGTGTAAATTTACATTCTCAGAAATGGACCTACAGTATACAGCAGTTTGTTGTAAGGCAAATAAATAATTAAATGCTATTGTC